TTTTCATGCTTGAAACGGGTGTGCGGATTCTGCTTAACACCTTCACTTAACGAACGCAATTTCTTTCCAGATAGTCATGAGCGTCCATGCAAAAGAGGAGGTAGCCAACCTCATAATTGAGAAACTCCGCGAAACTGAAGCATATAAATTCATCCAAGTACGTTTTACTGCCTATTTCACTGCTTATGTCACCAAGACTATTTGGATGGAAACGCGGTATCTTAAAGACAGCGCCCGCGATGGACTTTGGCAGGTTTCAGGGGTCACATTTGCTAGAACAGGTGGCCAATGAAGCACTAATCAAAAAAAGCAGGAAAAAGGTGTGGAAGAGCGTGAAATAAGACCCTATGAAATTTAAGGCATGTGGACGAGTTTCGCAAACTTCTGGTGAGTTCTCCAATACACGTCGCGCTCGGAACTCTAGAAATTCAGCGTATATCAATGCCAGCAAGCATTGATAACTGTCAACCAGTCGGGGCGGGATTAACAGGACAGGAGGCGTCAGCCCGGCTCTGTTGACTCCGCCCTCGTCAACCAATCGATTTCAAGCCGCAAGAGTGGGATTTCTGCTGTGATTGCGGACTCCGCGTTCGTTTTCAATGGAGGGTTTTTTCACTTTGGTTGATCGCGGACGCTGGCCTTGAAACTCCCTAGATTGTATTTCTTTTGAGACGAATATAATGAACTGGCTAGTAACGCTGCATAGCAGGAGTGCGTGTGTGGTCATATTTTGGTTAAAGGGCAGTTGGCACGATGATTTATTGTTCGGCCTAAAATGCTGGTAGGGCGCTATATAGTTGGGAAATGGCGAAAGAACGGAGTGAAACGGTCAAATCTTGCGAAGAAAGAACCTCCGTTCTCAGTGTTTAGAAATCGATTTCGGACGAGTTTCCCGTAGGCATCTTACCAATCACCGCTACCGAAGATAGCGGCTGCATATGTGTACCCATTGTATGCATGGCAGCAATCACGCCGCTTCAGAACAGCAACCGTCTATCGCTCATAATTTGCTTAGCAAATGAATCGATTAGAGCGTCAGGAACGGTCGTCCATTTGTGGGCGGGCGGGCGTGGTAGGCGTTTGGGACGTAAAGTTGTGGCTTGATAGGGCCCTTATAAGGGCACCTTCCTCGGGGAAACCGCTATGCAGCGCCTGCCCAGGGTCGCGGAATTCTATCCTGCCAGGCCCCCCCGGTTTTATCCAAAAAGTTCTCCCCCTACTCGTTTATAGGATCTATCGCGCGCCAACTGGCCTTTAATCGCAATCTCTCGCTCGCCATATGGTGGGTTCAATGGCACCGAATAATTCACTAGGAGGACATAACCTGTCTCGTCGTGTCAAGTCACTATAGAATCCCAATAAGTCAGCGAGTTTATGCCTACCCGTTTGGAATTGAAGGGACGGTCCGCGACCAGGCATATATAGAAGCCGAAAATATCGCGTCGGGAGGGTAGTGTGGTCTGCGACGGACAACCTTGTAACCGGTTTTCCGGCCAGGGGTACAAGCATCGTTGGAGTGAAACATCGTAAGGAATGGGTCATACTTTTCCGCTAGATAGGGAAGGGGGGTCATATGTGCTCCGGAAAGACTTTGCTGCGTTGGAAAAACTTTCTCTGTTGTTCCCCCCCCCCCCGCCGACGGAAACCATTGGATTGAAAAAAACTGGAAATGTGGGGAATTGTAGGCCAGTAATTTGGGCAGGAGGGGGGGGGGTCGTATCGAGACCTCATCTAGGAGGGGGGAGGTCGGACTACGTACATACACTACCCTTTTCGTACATCACGCGGCTCTACCCTGTTTAGCGGCAAAAAAGCAAGGGGCCGGGGGGTCTAAGCACATATAGGTCCTTTGATAGTGGTAGTGACTCCTCCTTTTCTCCAGTGACTCCGCCTCCAGACATGCCTTCAAGGCCCGCCTTTCAGTGAAAAGCCAATGTGCAGGACGAAATAGCATGAAAATCGTGACTTGTGCAGTCCTAGAGTTCTTATCGTAGAACCAACTGAGCGGGGTAGGTGGAGATGGAGGTAATTGCAAGATCACATAACTCGACGATCGGGAAACGGGGGGGGGGGGGGGGGGGGGGGGGGGGGGGGGGGGGGGGGGGTTCTATCTGGGGCGATTGGCATGTTTTTTCTGCGTTTTTCTTCCCTATCAAGCTTGCTCGAACCCTCGTCGTCTAATACGCACACCGTTGAAAGGCAGTTGGCACGATGGTTTCCTACTTCGCCTAAAATGCTAGTAGGGAGCTATATAGTGGGAAAATGGCGAAAGAACGGAGTGAAACGGTCAAAATCCGGCGAAGAAATAGCCTCCGTTCTCAGTGACTTAGTGAATCGATTTCGGACGAGTTCCCGTACGCATCCTTGCCAATCGCCGCTACGCGAAGGTACGGCTGCATATTTCCATATATGCATGCAGCATCACCGCCGCTTCATACCAATCCCTTTGCTTCATAATTTGCTCAGCAAATGAATGAATACGAGCGTCAGAAACGGTCGTCCGTTTGTGGGCGGGCGGCAAGGAAGGCGTTTGGGACGTAAAGTTGTTGCTCAATAGGGCGTTATAGAGGTAATCTCCCTTAGAAAAGGCTTCACGCAGCGCCTGTCCGAGGTCACGGAATTCTGTTAAGCCAGTTGTACAAATCCTACACCTGTATAGCGATTTATCGTGCCAACTGCCTTTAATATCATCTGGAATGCAAAATGATCGCCGAGTTGCCTTCGAACAAGCGCTGAGGACGTCCGTTGCTCTTTCAGACACGACGTAGTCCAGATGAGTCCCCTTATTCAATCCTAGGAGAAGATGCCGGAAGCATGCGCTTCATCACCCGCAGCACAATAGGAAACCTGTTCACCTCATTCCTCATCTCCTTCGAAAAAACCTATGGTCTCTTGAACCATTCTTTCAGTCCGAGAATCCGTAGAGCGCATCATTCATCCAGACGCTCATTTCCGAGTGACAAAGCTCTCCGACCAAGGTTTGTGCAGTTTCTTTTTTCCTAGTCTGCATTTAATTAGCGACGAATTTGATGAAGTTTTGATGAGTTGCGATGGAAAAATCACCCTGAAGGCGTGTGCGCAATTGCTGTCACCGTTGATCCCAATCTTCCTGGCAGAAGAGTGAATTTTACTCGCCCCCACGATGCAACTTTGTGAGGAAAAAGCTTTTGAAAATTTGTTTTGACTGATCAGTAAGTACAAACCGAACCTCTCAGTGAGTACTCATCTGCTATGAATTCAAGAATTGACTTCCACATATACACTGTGTCCATCCCGAATGATTATATGTAATTGGCCACGCCTGTTTAATTGTTTGTTTTTCCGCAGATTTGATTTTACCTGAAGGGGAACCTGGAGAGTTCGGTGGTTCGGTGGCCCCGCCCACAGCGAGCACTGACGAGCAGTACTACATTCAAAATTCAGAATTCGCTTCCAGAACAGCTCAAAGGGAAAAAATGGGCTAAGGTCAGCAAAGGACGAAATGGGGAAGGCAAATGAGCAGGGTGTTGTTTGCCACAAATGACTGCAAAAATTGTTGAAGAGGAGCGGGGGATTGGCAGGCTGCTCAGTCATGTGTGGCACTAACCATAGGTACCCTGTCGCTGATTGTGAGCGTTGGAGAGCATCGCTGTCTCCGACGGGAAGCGCAGTAGCGCCTCTAGCCATGGATGTTGCTTGTGCTGCAGATTTACTGGGTCAAACGACGTTTCGTTTCCTGTGTAGGTACTCTAGTTTAATCAGCTTTCACAAGTTGACTGGATAAACTTCGCCGTGGCGAACTGGCGTAGGGTTAGAAGCTTCCCCAATCTCACTGTTGTATAAGGTTGATGAATAAAGCAATTGCAGCACTTATATATCACTCGATGATCTATCATTACTTGGCTCACTCCGGTTATAGAGCAGCAGCTGAAATGATGCAGGCGGAATGCTATGAGGTCAGTGAAACTTCTACGATAACTTTTTCAGGTGGTACTGTACTTGAGAGGGGTCACGCGCGGGTGCGCCTAAGAGCGTTTTTTGTGCCATCTTTACGAAATGGTTATTCCATGTCCTTCACATGCTCAGTCTTTCCTTCAAAGCTTGTGCGGCTTAATGTTAGTTAGTTTTTTTGTGCTCCCTCTTCTCAGGACGCACACACAGTCGGTCTCGTCGCAGCGTAGTCCCTCCCAGGTGTAATCCCCCAATTGCCGTCATAACATTTGATAATGTCGCACTCATTCGGGACGGTTTCCAGTTTAATGGAATGAGCCCACTGCGGTATACACGGACGTTCACGCACTGTTGTGTTCTTCATAATCTTTCACCAACTGCTCTACCATTAGTAGAGTGAGGCAGCGGAGGAAGAGCTCAGATCACCACCTCCTGCCCACACGTACTTTTTTTGCGGCATTATCAACCACACCTTTCCAACCAAATCAAGGCGATTTTTTCAAGACGTTCCTGTCACGTGGCTTTCTCGAGGAGAATGTTGTTTCCTACGAAGACGAAGCTGTCGGGAAAAGCTTGGAGAAGTTCAAGCTAAAGAGTGGAGCAACCCTGAAAAGGCCTGCCATAATCAGAAATGGAAACACTAAGGCGCCGAATATCCCTATGAAGCCCGATCCAGAGTTTGAAGATACAAAGAACAAATTACGAGACACAATTCAAGCCATGGCAGATGAGTCAGCAAAGAAGCATAAGGAAATGATGCAGGTGTGGTCCAGTTTCGGTCTCATAGATTGAATGTTAGTTACCTCTTCAGAGGGAACGAATCTCGCAGAACTTGTATTAGCCATTTTCAGATGGAAGAAACCGTGGAAGAGGATGTTGACGACGAAGATGAAGAGGAATCGTCAAGTGAAGAGAAGTCTTCGCAGTCTTCAACAAGCACAGCCGAGTCCGAGGTGTACGTTTCCCTTTTCCCGAGCCACAACGGAAATCAGTAGAAAAGAAAATGTGGCCTATCGATCCAGCATTCCGAAGTCACACGCGAAACCCATGAGATGTGGTAGGCGTGGCTGCGTACTTCAACTAAACCTGGTGATGGCTGTGCTTTTCGGGGAGATTTTTTCTTGGACACAATTATGTTGACTCTGTTCCAATAAGGAGAAGATGGACGGCCTGCGTCAAAACGAGATCCCACCATCTGTATGCCATGTTAAAGAGCCACGTCTATTCCCTCTCAGGATAAGGAGTGTGTGAACTACATGATCCTACTAAGACTAGTTGTTATTGCCCATTTTAGAAACGTCTCGGAAGTAAGCGGAATTTTTGTACCCTTATGTTGCAAGTTATAAATGGGATATGAACGGGAGGCATAGGATCAACCAAAAGAGAGTACAACACTGTTAAGGAATACTGAATCAATTGCCGCGGTCGGGTGTTGAGGAAAGGAATAGTTCATGGCTTCGGGGAGAGGGTTTGCATTCAATCTGAAATTGCTTTTATGTAGTTTCATACTCGAATCCCTACGCTAAATGAAGAAGGGGTGAGCGAGGCTGGATTCCTAGGCTGGACTGGATTGTATCAGATACACAAACAGGGGAGGGATGTTACGCTGGAAGGCCTTGAAAACGTATTGTACACCCATCGCCGTAGATCTCCGTCTTTGCGAGAGGTAGAGGTAAATGAGTTCGTGACTGCAATACAGTGCCTTTTTCCCCGCCCTAAAGTGCATGGGAACGGGACCGTGGAGTAGCGATGCCTGTAGTGCCGCCTCGCAACTCCGCCAGCGCTAACCTGAAGCAGCAGCACTTGCGTCGTTACCGAAATACCGTAGTGAAAGGCGGTCACTTGGAAAGAATAGTCAGAGGTGAGAGGAAGAGACAAGGAGCGCGCTTGGCTATGATCAGGCTTGTGGCTGGCCGTGCGAGAGGGCGACGGATTAGAGAGACGGCAGTGGGACACCGCTACCCTGCAGTCCCGTTCCCGTGCACATTTGGCCGGGAAGGTGGCACGATGCTGCAGCTAGGGACCCCCTCCTCCATTTCACCTCATAAGTGGCAAGGACTAGGATGCACGGAGGTTTATGTACTGTTCGTCTTGAAGAACTTCTACAGTTCATCACTAATTCGCTATAAACTAAAATGAGAATAGCATTTGGAAATTTCTAGAGAAATGGTCACATCAAACTGGACGAGGCGCTTATGGGGTCCTAATGCTCATCAGCTATCGACGGATACCATTATAGCGACAGCACCACCGCCACCGACAAGGTATCGACATTCGAAACCCAGAAACCTTTTCTAATTTAGTGCCTATTTCTCAGGCCATCACACTTGCCACCACTGGTCGGTGTCCGTCCGAAGCCTCAGCTCACTTCCATTCGATCCATCGACTTCGATATACCTCGTAAGTGACGTTATTGTAATCCAAGTTTTCGATTTTGCATTCATCCATTTGCTTTCAGAACTCGAAAAAAGCCCCTCAAGTCAGTCTGTTGAAACACCTCGTGCTTCACCCAGTCCTGCAGCGAAGGAGGATGTTACTCCGTCGAAGCCATCTGCTGATGAACCTATAGCTTCTCCAAAAGAAGGTAACTTCACCTGATCGACTACTGTTAGAGCTGATTATTGCACGAGTCAAACGTTTTATTGCAAGTTAACGGGTTCTTATCTGGAACCATTTGGTGGACAGATATCGGTTGAGAAAGAGGTGTAGACAGAGTGTGCGTAAGAGGGAGTGGACAGCGCAAGAAAGGTCGGTGCACCGCTTAACCTCCCCTACTGGCAACGTCTACCGTAATCTTCAGTCACCCCTAGCAACCTTATCCTTGAGCACTTCCCTCCATCATCGGAATGTTTACTGTACCCTGTCAAGATGACAAGTTCAGCTACTAGGTTGGGCAGCAAGTTCTGACATTCAGACGTTATTAAATGTTTATTTATGCACAAATAAACAAATAACACAGAAATATAGACCGCATTCTCCTCCATTGTCCAGGACATTCTTCCATCGTTCTACAGTTCCCGACCTGCTCGGAGTGGAACACTGACTACTTCGGCCACATCATTGATTGGAAGTTACTACCCTTTTTCTCTCGAAAGATAGCACACCTGGCACACTGCAGGCTGAGAATTGCTCGGGAAGAGGATCGTATTTGGGTTGCTGAGAGGAGTCCATTTTGAAATGTAGGAGCTTTGGGAGAAAACACAGGTGTTTTTTTAAAGCTTATTATTCAGCGTTATCATCTTCTCTAAACCGTTTGAGAGCGTTGTCCTCCGAGTGGTTTAGGATTATCAACGAGGACTCCCGATGGAGGAACCGGGAGTCCTCGCTGATAATCCTTAACGGGCAAGCTGGCATCTGCACCCTGAAGTAGGTGGGAAACACCTGCAAAATATCAAGGTTTATCCGAGGTTTATTCGAAAGCAGTTTCTCACAACAGGCTGCTTGTTTTTCGACGTGCCCTGGGATTTCTAATCGCTCCCATTTCGGATGTGATTTTGGCACTATTTACCCTTTACTGCCCCAGTCATCCGTCGAGCCAGTTTTTCAACTGACTTTTTTGTTCGTGGACAGATTTGGCTCAAATGTCGTCTCTTGGAATATGTTTCACCGGTATTCTGAATACAAGTTATCCACATTTGCTTGCCATGAAACTCCTGGTGCCCGGTGCCCACAGGCGTCGTGAATTGGTATCCGTGAGTCTGTGGCGCAAGCGCCATGAGGTTTCGTGCCAAGCGGATGTGATATTCGTGTTCAGGAGGTCAAACTACCCCTGGAGACAAGTTTTCAGCGAATTTGGTGACTTAGGGTATTTTGGCGCGCCAAAAGGTTTCGTGCAGAGTGGATGCGATATTCATATTCAAGGTTCAAACTACTCCAGGAGACACGTTTTAGCCAATTCCGCCCACGGAGAAAGAATCGCTCAAGAAGAAGGATTTCGGATGGTTGGGGCAGTAAAGGGTAAATAGTGCCGAAATTTCGTAGTAAAAACGCTCAGCCCAAAGTGGGACTGAAGACTGATGTTCCAAAAAGTAGGTCCTTGAAGCATTCACAATGATATCTCCAGGAGACAAACGACAACCAGGAAAAAGGAAAAGCGAGTATACTGCTATTCCCTCCACCTGGTACACTCGAAATCTCTGAGATGTGGTAGGCGTGGCTGCGTACTTCAACTAAACGTGGCGGTGGCTGTGCTTTTGGAGAGACATTTTCATTTTGACACAATTGTGGTCGTGTCTCTGTCCAACACAGAACAAGATGACAGTTGTCTCAAACTTAGAAATCCCACGAGTAACCCATTCTATGCGTTCAACTGCAACGCCTACTCCGTCTCAGAGATAAGATGTGTCTGTGTGCAAAAATATCGATGGAAAACTACACAAAAGTGTCAAGAATGAAACCTTTAACACTTTCCCAATTTTTTCTCAACGCTAACAGTTGCCCCTTCTCTGAAAAAGTAGACTCGCCAGCACAGGTCCGTTTGGCTAGCAGAACATCTGCTTCGTAATTACGCACACCAGATTGACCACATGCCAGCACTCTAGCCCTTTTGAAACAATTCCCATCTGCATCCGTATGTCCACCCTACAAATGCTTCACGTAATGGAATTGAAATTAAATTCATGGCGCATACCAGGGGCAATAAGCTGACAATGAGTCGAGCCTTTTCCACGTGCATTTACTTCAGAATGCCACTTGCTTAGTGAAAGACAAAACGAAAATCATTGCAGAAAACTCGGTTTGCAGGTTTCTTTAGTATATTTGGCATCAATGGTTTTTCGCTTTTGAACGCTTGTGAGGCCAGAAGATAAAGAAATAAGCACCAATCGCGCTTTTTAGCCAAATCTTTCTCGCAACAGATAGCACGATTTACGCTACTCGTTGCAGCACCTAGGCTCCTTATCCCTGACATTTGAAGATAGTATAGAAAGGGTCGCTCGGATCACTTGGAGACAACTGTCATCTTGTTCGGTGTTGGACAGAGAGATGACCAGGACTGTGTCAAAAAATATCTTATCAAAAGCGCAGCCATCGAAGTAGGAAAGTTCAACTGAAGTAGTTCAAGCGCAGCCACGCCTATCCTCCGAGATTTCGGGAAGACGGGCAAGAGAATCGTAAATTGCCGCTTCGTCGCGCGCGGCAATGGGCGCGACGTTTCCTTATCTTGCAACCCTTTGATCGGAGCATCGGATTTCATGTACACAAGGACATGGTAGACACTTGTGTGTATTTGTGGACATACATTGTCTACACTTGACCAATACCACCTAACATCGTCGTCACTAGCGGGTGCGACGTCGCACGCGAGTTACGTCTCAGAGCACATGTCAACCGGAAAGCTTCTCCCCTCCTTCCTTTTTTCTCCCTCCTTCCTTCTTTTTCTTCCTTCCTTCTCTGATCCCTCCTCCTTTACGTTCCCCTTCAACTGGTAGATGGCCAGTGAAATTAGCCCTGGACCCTCGCAGCGAGAGATCGTCTGGTTGACATCTGCCCCGTAACCACCCTGAGGCGCATGCCCGAGTGTACATGACTGACATGAGGAAGCGATCTTGTGGATAGCACAGGTGTAACGAAGGAGTGCGTGACGCTACAATGGTAAAAATACGAAATAAAGCCTACGGGAGGATGTTCAAACCGCGCATTTTCTTCATATTCACAATTGGATCAGCGGTTAAATAAGAAAGTTGAAACAAATAAATGCGTAGAGGTGTGAAACATTCTGTTCCAATGCATTAAAATATAGTCTTCGCAGGGATGTTGGGATCATAAAAATGACATTGTTATTCATTTCCATTACTTTCAGCGGAGGAACTCAGCGATATCGAATCGATCACTGGAATCGATCAACTGCTGGAATCGGACCGATCGGGCAGCATATCATTCTAGTAGAGTACACCGTTCAGATTTATGTATGTGTTTCATCATCCATGATATTCTCATGCAAAAGAGCGAATTGTATATTGTAATTGTGAAGTCATGTCATAAAATATATGTATCAATGTGAAGCAATTGAGACGAACTATAGTGTAGTTCGCTGCGGACGGTTGGGCGTGTCAGGCGGGATGAGTTTGGCGCGGTGCCAAACCCGTTCTCCACCAGTTGTTAAAGCGAGCAAGTGATATGACTGTATCATATCGTTCGTATTACTCGTTTTCTACACTTTTTGCCGCATGCGCGCCACTCATACTGTCTGACACGCCCAACCGTCCGCAGCGAACTAGAGTATACTGGAAACTGTAGATTTTCCTGTCTTCATTTCCTTCTACTATTAAGGCGCATTCAGCGTTTACCTTTGCAGAGGCATTTCCTAATGATAGCTTTCTGGTCCGCAAGCACAGAAAATCCCCCCCCCCCACTTTTGGGGTTTGAAAACACGTGATAAGGCCGTTCTGCGCCCATGGCAAAGGCGATGCGCCGCCCACCGCTCTATGCTAAGTACTTGCAACGTTCGGTTCCAAAGGTATTTTGGATGTGCACAATTCTTCCTCCACGGCAGCGCGTACCCTGTCCCCCGGACCTAGCAAATTCAGCACGTTAGCAAGTTCAGCATAAACGAGAGGGACGAAATCGACCTTCGAAGGAGTACATCGTGTCAAGGACCCTTTTCTCAAAAGCCTGTTTGTCTAATTTGACGGATCTAGAAAAAACAGGTTTCGTGAGTACGACATGGGAGATTTGCTATGCAACGTGGGAATTGGCGCGAAGCGAAGTTCACAGTAGGACCTACTGGCTCAAGATGGAAGTGCCACAGTATGTCGAATCAGCTACCGTAACGTGGATCCCCTGTTCAGCAGCCAACACCTCGACCGACTGGGCAAGCTAAACCTGTTTTCCGGAAAACCAGTTATTCCTCTCAACTAACTTTTAAGAATCTAATCCTCTACTAGCGCTTTGCGTCTTTACTCATTTTACCCACTTTCGTTAGCTGTTAACCCTTTCGTTGCTCTTCGTGGTAAAATAGATACCCAGTATACACAGGCCCTGGCCATCCGCGGCACTTCGAAGAGAAACCAACGAGGGGGAGGGTGCTGCTTCCCGTTGTAGTGTCGAGCCATCTAGTAGGGATTTGTGAAATGCTGTGAAGTAATGAAGCGATAGCAGTCGAAGTTGTAGAAACTACTAGTCAACTATTGTTCAGAATACTTGTCAATTCTTATAAAACAAGGAAACGACAATGGTAAGTAGTACAAATGCAAAAGCCCCTCCCTGGATCTTCTCCCCTGCTACGTCCAGTTTTCAGAGAACCTTTTGGTTCCTTCTCGAAATCAACTACAGTACCATCGATAGAACGATTGAGGCTGACTTTTATGGGTCATTATTACAAAAGCAATTTATGTGTCGCATTAAATTGACTGCAGAATGAGGTCCGTAGGGAAAAGAGAAATTTAGGCGGAGCAAAGTGGTTTTTGATTGCATCAATACGAAAAGCGGCGTCATTCAAACCAAGTGCGATAGGAAAGAACCATACACTTCGTGACTTCTCTCCCTTACGTTTCTTGTTAGGCCAAAATCCTTTTACTACCCGGGTCGCGATCCTTCTTTGGCCCTGTCCCACTCGTCTCTCCTTCTAATAAAAGGATCTATTCGCCGAAGGTTTTGAA